TGAAAAATCTGTAGTGAAAAAATCTAAGTTCTCATGCAGTATGATTGAGGATCTGAACAAGTCAAAGACTATGTTTAAATGGACTTCTGGTTCGTTACACAGCTGCCATGGACGGCTGGGAGACTTGCTCTCCCCCCCCCCCCGTTCAGTTTCGCATCGCTGGGGCCCCCTGAAAAGGGCTGAAAGTCACCCCGAAGAGGCGACCAGCAAGGAGGGGCTTTTGCTGGATCCCGGGAGAGCAGCAACTCTTCCTTCAGACCAGGCGATCCCTCCAAACTGGCGAATGAAAGGACCGGCCATAGAAATATGGCTCGTCCCTAGGCTGCAAACAGCCGAAGTCACACTACCATCTGGCAACTTCAAAGCAGCATGGACAGGACTGGGTGAGGTTTGCCTCTCTTACATCCTAACTACTTAATTACTTGCATAAGTTGTTAAATTACTTTTTTCCCCTGTGGTGAGGGAAGGGGGATTCTAGCCCTCCCTCCAGAAACAGCAGCTATCAACCACTTGGGACTTTAAAACGTTGGAAAAATACTGAGATCTTAATTGGAATCCTATTTCCTAAAATTGGTGGATTATAAGATTTGCAACTTTCTGCTCTCTCTATATATATTTCTTCCTTGATTTTTATTCTAATTACTATTGAAGATTTGGGGTTTTCCCCCCTTAAATTAGAGTGAAAAAAAAAACCTAAAAAGATCCAACTAACTTTAAGACGTAACCTGCTATTCTCTAAGAGACTTGTTGACAGCTTTGAAAATAGACAAGATAAAAAAAAAATAACCTTGAAACATCATCTGCAAAATTCAGCTTAGCTCCCTATTTGGCGGACTTTCTGACTGTCAGTTTCTTTCTCTTGAGTTTAATATATTACACTGGAAGGAGAACAGGAAAGGATTTCTTCTGCAGAGGAAGTACAGGAACAAATTCTTTGTATGTTAAAAGGGATGATCCAAACTCTACGTATGCAAGCTCTGGATATACAAACTCAAACTATGACTTCAATCAAATAATTATCTATACAGAATTCTATAGAGAAAGTGAAACAACCAAATGTTATGACAGAAGACTTAGATACTCAACAAATACAGACATAGAAAACACAAAAAAGGAACTGATAATAGAGAACAAGGAAAGGGCGTTTCTTATAAACCAGAAGGAATTTGAAGATAAACAAGAAAAACAGATGAAAGAGAAGATAAATACTCGGGACAACTGCATAAAACTGGAAAAATAAAGAGATTACCGGCTAAATCAAGTCCTCTTAAGAAAACATCAACTGGACGTTCTTATCAACATCAAACAATAGCCATAACAATACAAGGAGATTTTTTTGATGATTTAAAGGCAAAAATACGAAAAATGACCTGGCAGAGGAAAAAAGCTAGAATAAGATTGAAAAAGATTGGGGTTCTGATCTATATATGAGATCTAAAATAGAATATATCTAGATAGAATATGTATTCTGAACATAAGACATTGTAACGATTTGAGATAAAGAAAATTTTGGTCATATAAAATCTAGAAATATGTTAAAATAAGAATATTATATTGTCATTAGATGGGTAAGATAGAGGATAGAAGTTATACATAAGGTGTGTATTTTAAATATTAGAATGTATGAGCAATTGGGATAAAGGAATTGTGTTTAATTAAAATTTGGAAAAATTAAATATTAAATGTAATCTGAACGTCTACAAATAATTAAGATTTGAATTTAAGATATTGTTATGAGTTGAGACAAAGGTTAATAAAACTTAAAAGTATAAGTATTAATAATTAAATTTTTATATGGGTTTGTGGTATAAATGTTGGTGGTTTATTTTCAATTTTTTTTCTCTTTCTGGAAATGAAGAAACGAAGGAAGTGAAAGGAAGAAAAGAAAAGAAAATTATTAGCTCCAAATGTGAAATAGGAGACTTAGAAATTGGGATCATTTAAAACCTGGAAATGATAAAGATTAAACGTTAAACTTAAATATCAATGGCAAATTAAAGTTAAGAAAAACTTACTAGGTTATTGTCTAAAAGGTGGAATGTCAAATTAATTAAGATATGTATAGACTGAAGATTATTGATGAATATTAGAAAGGTATTTTTGTTTGATTAATAGAGTAAGAACTGTATTGGTTTGAACATGACAGTAGATATCATGGGGGAAAGAGAGGGAATTAGTTTGTTGTAATAATTTGAGATTTGTACTGATGATATTCAAATGTAATGGAATTACTGTGCTCAGCCGCCACGCTACTTTTCAAATATGTAAATGTAATATTGTAAAATTAATAAAAAACTTGAAACTGAAAAAAAGACTATGTTAAAATGGCTGCAGCAATAGAGATGCAACAATTGGAATTTCAATGGAAGAAGAATGTTAACTTATTTGAAAAATTTATTCAGACAGAATTGATATAAAGTGAGTTATTGTAGATTAGATAGATAGATAGATAGATAGATAGATAGATAGATAGATAGATAGATAGATAGATAGACAGACAGACAGACAGACAGACAGACGAACCTTTATTGTCATTTTTTACTGTTGGCACAATGGCACACATTAAAAATCACCCAGTTTGATTACTAAAAGGAACAATTCATTATTTTAAAAGTTGCTAGAATTGAAATGAGCAATGATTCATAATTGATGACAACAACACCAAAAAGCTTAACAATTCTGGAAAACAACTCATAGCAGAATGAAACAAAATTTAAAAACTGAATTCCTTTCAATTTATTATATTTATACCAAACTTTATCAAACTAAATACATTTTCATAAAGCATACTGAATTGTCTTTATGTCTGATAACTGCTACAAGGATACTATATTACTATGTGCTTTGTACTGAAAGGTAACCTGATCCTTTCCAAAATGGCAAAATTGTGGAAATAAGTTTTAATATCTAGAATATAGAATATATTCTAGAATATATTCACACCTTAAAAGCAAATTTGACAGAGATTTCAACTCAAACTGGAAACCATTCTTAGATTATAATTTAATACATAAACTGGCACAATATGAAAGATTGGACATGCATAATATCTATAGTTCAGTTTTATGAGATACCTAAATCAAAATAAAGTTTTAGTAATATAGATTGAATTTATTACAATATATAATCCATTCTATGATTTATATTGTGCTGATTGTGGTTCTTGATTTTATCTTGTAGCTAAAGTTTAATAATGATTGCTAATTTTTAATGAGATATAATATTTAAAACATATGTAATTATTTACAAGTAATCAATAGGATAATTGAAAGTTATAATAACCTTGACGACATTTTAAAATCTTTGGTTTATTTATTTGTATATTCTTTCATCTTGTTTTTTGTACTTATTCAGGTATTTTCTTTTAAAAGTCCAATAAATAACTTATAAAACAGGGAGGGAGGGAGGGAGGGAGGGAGGGAGGGAGGGAAGGAAGGAAGGAAGGAAGGAAGGAAGGAAGGAAGGAAGGAAGGAAGGAAGGAAGGAAGGAAGGAAGGAAGGAAGGAAGGAAGGACATTCCAATTAGTGTACGGGACTGAGAGAAGTCCTGAAGCTCTAAATTCCTGCTTTAATTTCATCTCTTTAGCTCTACTAACCAACATGGAATTGTTCAAACATGGACCAGCCAACATGATACGGGTTTCTGAGGATTGCAGTTCAAAACATGCAGAAATCAAATAACTTATCACTTCTCTTCTCTGCTGAATGCAGAAATGGCTCCAACACTAAGCACTACTCTTCCAAAACTCCCTCTTCTATCAGGCAGACCTATTCAGTTCCAATGGAAACACTGAAGCCAACTGAGAAATGTCTGGAATGCATGACATCTTTGTATGACATCAATCTGACTAAACACATTCTTCACACTGGACTTCAATATGCTTTGAATATGCTTTAGACTGGGACATGGAACACAGCATTTCTGTCCCATCGGGTTGGCCAAATGCAGGGGCAGTGCTGAGGTACTCTTGCTCTTCCTTTCACAAAACGTTTGTTTTGCTGCAACCAATACTATATCTTCCTAAAATCACTGATGGGATTTATCTAATCTATGAACACATGGTTGTTTTAAAGTTAGGTTGCTAAACAAATTATAAGATCCTGATACATGTGTTATGAAACCATAATGGTTCAATTCACAGAGCCAAAATCAGGGAAACTATATTACTGTGGGGAGAGTTGTTTGTTTGTGGGCAGTGAGTACAATATTATATGTATGATCATGTTTTATGTCATTAAATTACTTCATTTTTATTGTGGATGTTTCATCTGCATTGGTGATGGATATTGCAATTGTATATTGTATACTGGGAGTCCCTGACAGAGGCACAACTGAAATAATTAAAAAAATAAAAATTATGACTTGACAAAGGTGTTTTGTTTTACTATAGATGAGATAATAAGAAAGATGATTGTCAACAATCAACAAGTTTATGGCAGAAACAAAATCTCTGCAAGGAATCTTGTTAATAGCTCCATTTCTTAGTCATGACCCTTAACTAGCTTCAGAGAACAATCTGGTTCAAAATATGTTAATTTAGGAGGGATATCATGGAATTGCAGAAAAATACTGGGATGCATTCTTATTTTGTTCAATATGTGGCTGATGCAAAAAAAGCATTATTTTTTTAAAAAATGGCAGAATCTATATATAGATTTATTTTCTGCCCATGTAGATACTATATATGCTATAAAATATTTTTTAATAATATATATTGACTTCTGTAAAACTTTGCCCTGCCACTGTCACTGTTCTGAAGTTATGATTAAACATAATTGACAACTTCCCTGCACACTGCATAGCTTGCCTCAACAGCTTGATCTAGAATTATTCCCTCAGCTACAGGACATTGCTATAGCAGAATGCCATCAATAATCCAGAAAGTGTGGCAAGGCAGAAAAATAAAATCTTATTGATGTGGAGCTAATGCACTAATCACTGTAGGTAATATTGAAAAGTAATATACCGGGGATAAGGTTTATATAATGCAATTACTTACACACTTTGTTTCTCCTCTCCCTGAAGAGCGTGCTTCCTGGGCTGTTTCCTGGGCTGAAGTAGACATCTTTTAACCAATATCCAGAATTTAACCTGTAGTTGGGAAAAATATTTTTTGTTGTTGTTATTAAAGCAGCTTAATTCAGATACATGCAATCAAGAGAACTCATGTGGCATAATGATTAAAAGCATGATTTAGGAGCCAGCCACCCTCCCACCCATCCAGATATTTGTTCATCCTAGTTCCAATTTCAGGCAAAGTTCACCAAAAACTCACTTGGAGGCCTTCCACAAGCTGTGTTCTTTCAGCCTTCAGGGTCTGGTCAGAAATTTCAAGATCTGAGCCTCCTTCCCTGGTCTCTAAGGGAAATCTCAGAGTAAGGGGTCAAAACCAAGGACCATATTAATATTTTTATATTTGGCTCAAGAAAAGCCAGGTCATATTTTTTTGTCTATACTAGCATGCTCTACTCCTTGCTCCAAGGCTCCCCCTCCCAGTCAGCTGGACATTTGTTAGCCAAATGTGAGCACAAAAATAATATAAGCAAACCTTAATGACTGCAGAGTCTATTACTGAACTAATGTCATTGTCTTGTACTATTAAAAAAATCAGAAACATAAATCTGTATAAATCAGAACTGTTTTAAAATTTCTAGAAACATTCAAATTTATACATCATAGTTTGCAGACAAACATCAGCAACAAGTGTTTGAATTCTAATGGCAAAACATTCTGAACTAAATCCCTGTAAATTCTATATCTATAGAAAACTTAAGTTGCCATAGGTTGGCCTGAATCATACATGGAACTTGACACTGGAAGGGTCCAGGCTTGCTTAATTTAGATATGCAAATATAAGTTGACACAAGTCTAAGCTGTGAAATAACACTTTCATACTGGTTAGTGAAGTTAGTCTTCATGTACTGGCAGCACTAAGTATACAACTCTCAAGCAATGCATATATGTATGAACCAGTCCAATAATTGAAACAGATATAACATGTGGTTGTATAGGCAAATTTCATTCTGGAGGCATAATCAGCATATTTGTGAGGTTAGGTCTATTAGGACTGTTAACAGAATTGTGCCTATTGTCTTCTCTACAAAACTCTTTAAACCTAGAAGCAATTTCTGTTGAACAAATTATGTCTTATTTGTTCATGTGTCTTTAAGAGTTTGTGCTTATCCTCATATATGAATTACTGGATATGCACCAGTTGACTTGAGTGATGGGGAGGATTGCTCTTTGGATTTGAGGTCACATTGCCTAGCATGGTGCCCTTCAGATATGATGGGTTACATCTCTTGTAACAATTAACAACCCCACTGACTGATCTAGTTGGAAATTATGGACTTATGCTCCCAATTTTGAGCAATGTGCTTTAGATGTAGCTGTCAAGATGTAAACTGATCAAATATGTTTTTTCATCCACATATAATAGATTGTGGAGTTGAGACTGTTTGTTGTTTTAAAATTGGGGCCTGTTCTATATGGAAATGTGAATTTTTCCCTCTACATTTGATTGAAAATTGAATTTATGTGTATTGTCACTATAACAGTGCAAGAAAAATGACTTCATAGTAAAAACACAAATACGCATACCACTCTCTTTATCATTACCACCAAAGAGCTCACCCATGTTTATATCATGGAGAAATTCTAGTATTCTAGTTCTGTGAGAAGAAACTATCACATACATCTTTGCAGGGAAGACAAGAAACACGAAAGCAATCTTCTTAAAGGGAGTTGGATAGATGTTTTACCAAATAGGAGATTTATGTGTAATTAATGTTGTAATTCATACTTAAAAAGAGGAACACTGGTTAATCTTTTGTTATCTGATGGCTCATATTGTTAGTGTGCTCTATAGTTTCATTACAGCTATTAGTTTTGCACTTCAAATCTATAAATGACAATAATTCGTTGATGTCAGCTAAGCCCATGGAATGTTGAAGTGTTGACTTCATTACTGTGGAAACCTTGATGCTCTTTGAGTTTGGTTATTTGCTTGCAGATGTTTCATTGCCTGATAAGTAGTATCACCAATGCTTTGAGAATGTGCACTGATGTTATCTAGTTGGGTAAAGAAATGTTTGCAAGCAAACAACTAAACTCAGAGAGCACCAAGGACTCCACAGTTCAACCCTGAGCTATATATATTCTCTTCTATTACAAATACATGACTCCCTATATTGCCAATTTCCTATAAAAATAATTCTACATAAATACTAAAGGATAAATGACATTCTACTATTTATATTTGTATGTTTGTATATCTACATAGAGATATCCATGTAAATAAATGCGTGTGCACATGAGCACGTGGTGCATATTGTTTAAAGGAAGCCTATTCAGAAATGTTCATCATACCAAACATACAGCATATAGCTTTGAATTAATTTGAATTAAATTTACTTATGAAATATATACTAATAGGATAGGCACAGTGACCCAATACTGAAGCAGAATGCTGCTCTACCAGCAATTGAATATCATTGTAGAGCGGTAAGATGTGAAGGGATATAAGAAAAGCTTTCCCTGGAATTAAAATCATAAATGCAGATTTTGAGGCTTCTTGAAACTGTTTTTCATAATTAAAAAAAGCAGATTCCTAATCCAGCTATTTGAATATATGCAACCATAAAAAGAAATACCCCATATTCAAATAGCTAGCTTAATTAACCTGCATTTCAATTTTGTGAATATTCTGTATTCTCCATATTTCAGTGGAGACAATTGAATATTGTGAATTAGTTTGCAGTGTATTAACTGCTACTAAAATGCTAATTGCAAGAAAGTATTCACAAACCTGCAGATCAAAGGCTGGAATTCTATTAAGTTCAATGTAGTTTCTGCACAAACATATACATGATTGTGCTGTACAGATAGTCTTCAAGTTACAACCATTCATTTAATGACAGCTTGAAGTTACAGTGGCACTGAAAAAGTGACTTTTGTCCATTTTTCACACTTTCAACTATTGCAGTATCCCCATGGCCATGTGATCAAAATTCAGATGGTTGGCAATCTGCATGTATTTATGATAGTTGCAATGTCCCAGGAATATGTGATCACTTTTTGTGATCTTCTAACAAGCAAAGTCAATGGGAAAGCAAATTAATTTAATAACAGTTGCAGTGATTCACTTAACAGTTATGGCAAGAAAGGTCATATAATGGGACAAAATTCACTTAACAACTGTCTTGCTTAGCTAAGGAAACTTGGCCTCTATTTTGATCATAAGCCAAGGACTACCTCTATAAATTGGAAACTGACAAAACTGATGGAATTTATGAATTCTAAACAAATAAAAGCATCCTGCATTTGTATAGGCAAGATATTTTAAAGTGAATGCTCACAAAACTGCTCTATGTAAGTCTGCCCACCCACCTACCCGTATCCTTCTCCTCTTTTCATGATTTTTAAAATTAAGACTTTAAATATGAAATGGCCAAATATTTAAGTTGGACTACATGTTTATATCTTCTTCAACCTCTTAACACTTAGTAATTTTCTTTTTAAAAAAGTGCCTGCATTTTCACCCAAGTTAATTGGATATTGTGATTCCTTAAGAACACAGAAAGCACTCCTTAAAAGAAACCATGGTAATCAAGAGCAGAACGTCATCCTACAAAAAGGAGATGATGGGGTGCAGAATAAAGTAATGGTCCTAGATAAACTTAATTTACATGTCATTTGAAGAGCACTAATTCAAACATCTTAATATGGTTCAATGATGGAAAATGTTAAAAATAAACAAGGCAACCATGTATTAAAAAAAACAAGGCAACCATGTATATAAAAACTGATAAGATAGTTGAGAATTCCAGAACTAGAGTGAACATTCTCAACTCCCTTCCAGTATATCCTTAATTGTACTAAAATTCAAAGCAAGTCCTTACTTCATTTAATGATTTTTTAAAATAATGAGTTTAAATATATGAGAGATGGCCATAGGTTGACAACATTTCAAAAGAGGCAAGAGTTTTTGAACATTTTCATTAATTAGCAAGAGGAATTAATGCCCTGCTCTTTGCTCTTCTCTTATGACTAGCAAAATAGAAACCATACAATTGAAACTGATGAAAAGTAAAATACACCAACACTGTTTCAACCATATGGTTTAGACTAATCTGGATTTATCTTTTTTGGTGCAGAAATTATTTTTTATGAATATACAGCACACAAACAGCTCTCGTGCATGAGTTGCAGAGATGCTTTATAATATTGAAACTGTACAGGCAAAATTAATCAACTCCCACTGAACTATTTAAATAGGATCAAATAGAATCGATGTAGCTTGCAATTTCTCACTTTGCATTCAAGTTATATATGTATTTCTTGCACTGCAATAATAGCAGTCACAGGTAAATGATGGATCATAAAGATTTACAAATAGAGTAATGAACAATTCACAGGACAGAGGCACAGACCAATACCAGTTAGCGCTGATATTTCATTTTTGTTTTCCTCTCATTTTACGTCTTTGAGCAATTCTTTCTCAGATGAACACAATATATTTTTAAGATCTCAAATGTTGTTCACACTTGATATTATCCATGTCTGTGTCTTGCATTTGCTTGCCTGTATCTACATATTGCTTAGGAAAAAATCAATAAACAAACTGACCTTCAGGGAAGACTTGCCCTAATGTCACTATCTGAACTTGGAATGAATTTGCCAGATTACAGATAGAAGTACTCTCATCTTTGTACACTGGAAGTTGCAGACAGCAACTGATTTTCAATGCATTTTTCCAACACCAAAAAAATAGATACGGTCTTAAACCTACCAGACTAATATTAGCATGAATCGCTAGATTTTGGGGGGGGAGGGGGAAGTGTTTTGTAGAAGTGTTGTATTGTAAGTAATGAGTTTTGCGATGATCCCTGAAAGTGCTATTGCTAATGTATTTCTCAAGAAAAGCTAATGTTCTGTTACAGGAATACTGTAGTTCTGAAGTTGTAATAGACAAGAAAATTCCAGCTTTGATAAACATAATTTACTATTTTACTAGAGGTATTCTGCCATATTGTCAAAAGGTACATATGTGTCAGCTTTCCAACTTTTTAAAAAAGTATTACATCCAAAGAACTAAGGTACTTAGTATGTGATGGCTCCTTCATATATGCAAGTAATTACTTGCAAGCAAGTAAGGTAGCCCTCAAGTTATAAGTTCATTTAATGACCATTCAAAGTTACAACAGCACTGAAAAAAATGACTTATGACCATTTTTCAAAATTACAACCGTTCTCATGGTCATGTGATCAAAATTCAGACACTTGGCAATTAGCATGTATTTATGATGGTTGAAATGTTCTGAGATCATGTGATCATCTTTTGCGACCTTCTGACAAGC